TAAAACCATCCGGTATTTTTCTTTCTCTTTCTGGCTTATCTCACTAAGCATGATCTTTCCAGCTTCTAATGGTACCTTTTAACTTTCTATTTTTGGATCTATCTCTTTCCTCCTCCACCCAAAGTCTTACGTCCGTGGTATGATGCCTCAGTATGTCCTCTGTTGATGCTCACCCCTCTTTGGAGCATGTATGATCAACCTGTAGGACATACTTTGGCCTACTGAGCTTTGGAAGGATGTCGTGAGAAGGTGATGTACTAGACATGTTCAAGACACCTTCTCAGGTCAGTAAGTTATCTGGTTTGGGCCTCCCTGGTGGTACAGCAGTCTCAGCACTGTTAAGCTTTATCCTTCGCCGCTGCTGCATTAGCTCATACCATGCCAGGGAGGTGATGCTCAGGGCCAGCATGTCTCCTGTCACCTCACTGCTTCTCTCCTGTATTTCAATCAGTCAGCCTGTTCTACCCCCAACTCTGTCTCTGAATCTTCTCATCCCCCTGCACCTCTGGCCTGTACCCCAGTTGTAGTACACATTAATAAATAAAATCTTTTTAAAAAGAAAGAAATTAGCTGGATTGTGCTCTGCAACTCAATCTCTAATTCTCGACTGTCAGTCTTGTCAAAACCCCACTTCAGGGGTAACCTTGAGGCTCTAACCTGGGCACATGTGGACTTAATTGCTTCGTTTTCCTGCTGTTATTTAGGTTTTTGTTTGTTTTAAAGATTGATTTATTCATATGGAACTGGGGTACAGGCCAGAGATGTGGAGGGTGAGAGGATTCAACAGAGACTGAGGGGAGCAGCGGGCGGGTCAGGAGAGGTCTGCTGCGCCATGCCATGTGGATCTCCTCTGGGGCAAGCAGGGATCAAACTCATGCAGAAGTAGCTTAAGCTTCTTAGTGCTGTGCTTTAACCCACTGAGCCACAAGGGAGGGCCCCTGTTATGTAGTTTTAGCATTGACCATCTCTCAAGCTCAAATGAAACCATGAAGGGGGTCTTTGGCAGATCATTAATTTTGTCCTTAAAGATTTGTAATCCGTTCCTGCCACTAATCATGCAATATTTCATTTGGAACCAAAGTGAAGAGTGGGGTGAGTGCTATGATAATTAGAAATGCCACCAGAAATGATTAACATGAATTACTAGATCTGTATTTCCAGGGTGAACTCTCTTACCTTATTGATTCCAAATTTCAAATTTAATCTAGTAGTTTATCTATGTGTGTATACAGGAACTAGAGTACAGGCTAGAGATTCAGGGGCAGTGAGAGTATTCACTAGAGGCTGAAAGGGGAGCAGAACAGGTAGACTGACTAAAACACACTTCAGGAGAGCAGAGCAGCAGGTGGGTCAGAAATCTGCCACCCCATATAGGTCAGCTCCCTGGCTGGGGTTTGAACTCTGGCTGCAGTGGCAGAGAATAAATAGCTTCATAGTGCTGTGCCTTGGGCCACCAAGGGAAGGCCTTGAGCTGTCTGTTATCTAGAAGCTCCTTAGTTTAATTCTCATGATGGAAACCTGTGTTTTTTGCCAAGACTATCGTGGCTTTTATTCTGTTGTAATACCAGGGTGCCACTATAATTGAACAACATGTATGTTTATGGGTATAAAATCTATTCCTCGTACAGTCTCTCCAGGAACTTCCAGAACCACATCTTACTGCTTATTGAATGCTGGCCAGCAGCCAACATTAAACAAGTCAGACTTAACTTTTTATATGCCCATCTATCTAACCCCTTTCCAGCCTTTTCCTGTTGTATTTCGTCTCCCATTATATAGTATCCCCACACCTAGTCTCTTTAGCAAAGAGATCCTGCTTGGTGCCTCCTTCTTGAGTTTAGTCATCACATAATTTAGAATGAATCTTTCTTTTCCATAGTCATCCTTACCACTTTTCTTTTTTAAGACTTGTATACTTATGCATACAAGAACTGGGGTACAGGCCAGAGGTGCAGAGATAAGAGAAGATTCACCAGAGGAGTGGGAAGAACAGGCAGATCTACTGAAATATACTGTTGAGGGAAGCAGATTATGAGGTCATTGCTTTGTGCCCAATTGAAGTAACTTTAATGGCCTTAAATCTCTCTAGTACAAACACTAACTCTTTAGTCACACATGCCAGTCCCTTGTTATGGCTCCTACCTTTCTCCCCAGGGCTTGCTCTTTACTGCTATGACCTATTTAGAACAAAAAAACTTTTTGCTAGCTTCTACGTCTTCAGGCCTTGAGTTAACTCCAGTTCTGAAATCTTGACAACTATCCTTTGTTCTTATCACTGAATTTTCTTTGTTCCTTAGTTCCTGTAGAAACTCTTCGAGAGAAAGGACAGATTCTGTTACCTGAAGAGGTTTCCGGCTGGCTTATGTTGGAAGAGATAACCACTACAGTACTTGGGAGTCAGGATTTCATGTGAGTCTTCATGGGGAAGTGTAAATGAATCCTGAATTAGGTCTTTGTGTAAAGTGATGAGAAGAATCTCTTTCCACAAAAAGGCAGTATGTTGACTGTTGAGAGTGAGGAATATTTATCTTTGAAAGCCACAAGCCAAATGTCTACCCGAGACTCCTCTGAAACAATCTGTAAGAACAAGCCACAAGCTCCTCAAGAAAACCAAAGACTTACAACTAAAGAGTGTGCTGACAAGAATGTGATTGAAGGGGGAGGTCTTCCTGCAGCCCATCAGTCAGAAAATCTTCAAATGCAATTTGCCTTTGTAACAGAACCGGTCTCACCCGTGCACAGTGATGAGGAAGTTTGCCAAAATGGCCAGTTGAAAGAATCCTTGGAACCCCCAGACAGTATGGACAATGACACTTTTGATGAGAAATCAGAGGTGGCTACTCAGAGAGCTCCTACCCAGGAGAAAGCATGCAGCCTTTCCAACGGTGGGGACACCCATACCACCAGCTCAGATGGTCAGCCCAGTGAGGACGATTGTCTGTGTAGTCAATGTGGTAAGGTCTTCAGTGACCGCTCAGCACTACAGCTTCATCAGCGAGACCACAAGGAGGAGAAGCCCTACAAATGCGAGCAGTGTGGGAAGGGCTTCACCAGGAGCTCCAGCCTGCTCGTCCATCGAACCGTCCATACAGATGAGAAGCCTTACAAGTGTGACAGGTGTGGGAAGGGCTTCACCAGGAGCTCCAGCCTGCTCATCCATCACGCAGTCCACACGGGTGAGAAGCCTTACAAGTGTGACAGGTGTGGAAAGGGCTTTAGCCAGAGCTCCAAGCTGCACATCCACCAGCGGGTGCACACAGGTGAGAAGCCCTATGAGTGTGGGGAGTGTGGAATGAGCTTCAGTCAGCGCTCCAACCTGCACATCCACCAGCGAGTCCACACTGGGGAGAGGCCCTACAAATGCAGCGAGTGTGGGAAGGGCTTCAGCCAGAGCTCAAACCTCCACATCCACCGATGCATCCACACAGGGGAGAAGCCCTACCAGTGCTATGAGTGTGGGAAGGGCTTCAGCCAGAGCTCAAACCTCCACATCCACCGATGCATCCACACAGGGGAGAAGCCCTACCAGTGCTATGAGTGTGGGAAGGGCTTCAGCCAGAGCTCAGACCTCCGCATCCACCAGAGAGTGCACACTGGAGAGAAGCCTTATCATTGTGGCAAGTGTGGGAAGAGCTTCAGCCAGAGCTCCAAACTCCTCATCCACCAGAGAGTGCACACTGGAGAGAAGCCCTACGAGTGCAGCAAGTGTGGGAAGGGCTTCAGCCAGAGCTCCAACCTCCACATCCACCAGCGTGTCCATAGGAAAGACCCGGTGGAGTGAGACCCTCAGTCTCAGTGTTCTTACTCCAAAGACTTCAGTTTTGTTTTGTTTTTTTCCCTGTTCAGTATTTTTAACATGGCTTTTACCTTTATATTCTGTGAATAATGAATTAGCAACAGTTATTCTGATAATTTTCCCTCACTGAAAATCATTTACAGTATTGAAGTCCCAAGGATTTTGTTGTGCTACACAGTTGGGTGAGTGGATTGTTCTGGTTCTCGGGTGGGTAGAATAACAGTGTCTGTACTCAGCAGATTAGCCAGTATTATAGGAGACACACATCCCACATCCCACCCAGCATTTTTAACTGGAAGGACTTAATATTGATCCAAGCAAAACATGTTTCCCTTTGTTCATGTTCTTTAAGAAATTGGAATTCTGTTCTCTTAAAATCATGTGCCTTGTGTTTTTTGTATTTCCTTCCACCCCTAAATAGACCTCTCTAAGTTATGGGTGTATGGTATGTTGCTTTGGATGTCGGCAATTTAATGGATGTGAAAGTCTGTTGTGTTTGTTGCTAAAATACTCAACACTCAGAAAGTCAGAGGAGTTTCTCTTGCCTTATACCCCATAAGCTGTTCTGTGGGATGTTGTGCCCCTTTCTTGCCTCCCCCAAGGCAAGTGGCTGTTTAGGAACATCTGTTCTTTTTCCTAAATTGCAGCTAGTCTTTGTGGTTCTTCAGGACCTCAACACCTCAACCTTGTGTGTATGTGCACTGTTAAAACATGACAGTGAAGTACAGTGGAGTTGGAAATATGTAGTTTTTTTAAGGATTTATTTACTTATGCACACAGAACTGGGGTACAAGCCAGAGGTGTAGGGGTGGTGAGAACCCCATTAACTCAGGGGACCATAGCTGGTGTCTAAGAAATGAAAGAAGGCAGCAGCTATTTGCTTTCCTTCAAGTCAGCCCTAGAAACCCTGAGTGCAGCCCTGAACAGTTAGAGGGGTGGTGGCTGAGCACCTGCCCTGTGCAAACAGCCATCCTTGCTTGGCACCCTGACACATCACAATTTGCAGGACAGTTGCAGCAATCTAATATCTTAAGTCTAAATATTAATGAATGCATGACCATTACTTGCAGTCCCAGATTTTAGATACTTCCCATTCCCCCCCTCCATAACCCTGATAACCAGGGTTAGAGGAGAGGAAAGAAATGCTATGGAATCTCATGTCTACAGCTCCTCAAGGTCTTTTATACTTTTATTGGTGAGAGTGGGTCATAACTTAGCACGAAGAACAAGGCTAACCCCTTACATAATGGATACAAGGTGAGATCTAGCATTGGGGTTGGATCTGTGAGCAGATTATACCAACAAGGAAGTTCAAGGTGTGGAAGACTTAACAGGAATTGTATGAGAAGTGATCAGCCAGTGCTATAGAAATAAGGTCAGTTTGGTCAATTGAGCCAAATGACAAAACTGAAAAATGTGCTTTTAAAGATTAATTCATGCATACAAGAACTGGAGAGGTACAGGATGGGTGAGAGAATTCACCAGAGAGAGTGGGGAGCAGCAGGCAAGAGAAGTGTGCACCATGTGGATCAGTCACCTCTGGTGCCAGGAATTCGCACTGAAGCGCCTACAGCTCACTTGAACCTGTGCCATGCTTTACCTGATGCACCATCAAGGAGGGCCCTAAAGCCCAAAAACATTCAGCATGTATTGAACACAGACCTCTGCCCAAATTCTTATATGCATAAATAAGTATATTAAAAACTGAACAGATTAAGGATCTAGGGGCTGTTACTTTATGGGTAAACCTGCTTTGTTCACATCCTAGATTGTGAGCAAGGCAAAGATGTCTGTCTAGTCACCACTTCTGGTAAACACAGTCCCAGATGTTTCAACCAGTACAAGGTGATAAAAAGAGATTTGGATTGGGAGTGAGGGGTTTAGGATGGATGGGCTTCATGCATCCAGTCTCTAGTTGCCAGGACAACCCTGGGTTTGCCTGAACGGGCTGAGGGTAAGAGGGAAGGAGGAGTGTGACAGGATGGATCTAGCCAGCTTCAAAGAAGACAGAATCCCAATTCCCTCCATCAGCACCAACCTGCCCAAACTACCTTTTTATTTTCTTAAGGATTATGCATGCAAGAGCTGGGGTGCAGGCCAGAGATGTGGAGAGAGGATTCTCTGGAGACAGTGGGGAGCAGCAGGAGACACTGGAAAGGTCTGCCACACTGCTCACCTCCCTAGTGGCTGCTATAGCTTCACAGTGCTGCTGCATCTTTTAACACCTGACCACCAGGGAGGCCCATGCTACCATTATTTCTTAGCTGACTTTACTGCTTTTTTTGATGGCAAACAAATTTATATTTAAATTAGCCGACTGGATAAATTTAGATGGCCCCAGGGTTGGTTGATTTTTCTTTTTAAAGTTTTATTTATGCAGAACTGGAATACAGGCCAGAGGTGCAGGGGCAGTGAGAGGATTCAGGGAGCAGCAGGCAGGTCAGGAGTGGTCTGTGCCATGTGGGTCATCTTTGGGGCCAGGAATTAAACTCGACTCAAGTGGTCACTACCAGCTTCACAGTACTGTGCTCCAACCTATTGCACCACCAGGGGGGGGCCAGCCCAGGGTCTTTTGTTTGAATACATTTATTACATCACCCTTCATTTTTGTACAGTGTATGCTCTCCCCATGAAATTCCCACCACCAATACACCTGTGCACCACCACCAGAATCCCTTGTGCTCTTCCCACTCCTATCCAGAAAGACGGCCCCAATTCTGTGGACAACAGCCAAAGCCTCAGTCAGGAGCCAGCCAAACACAAACCTCTCCATTCTGGTCAGGTTGTCCCTGTGCAAAGCAATGTCAGAAGGTGGGTGACGTGATATTTGAGGCAAGTGTTGTGGACACTCTTCAACATTGCTTTCTTGAAACTTTGAAACTTTCACTTGCAGGGTCCTCCCTGATGGTACAGTGGGTTGAAGCACAGCACTGCAAGCAAGCCGCAGCTGCTTCAGTGCAAGTTCAATCCCCGCCCTGGAGATCATAGTGTGACAGATTTCTGCTTCGTGTGTCAATTTGCCTGTTCTCCTCACTGTCTGGTGATTCCTCTCACCACCTTTGGCCTGTACTCTAGTTCTGCATGCATGAATAAATAAATTTTGTTTAAAGTAATGGACTTCCTATGTGGATTGCAACTGAGTTAGTTAAAATATTACAGGTAAATTTTCAGTTCATGGGAACATTGCAGAATAAATAAAGAATCCTCAGGGAAAATGCACAAAATTATGTAAAAATAAACATTATTTGAAAAAAAAAGGAATGGACTTCCTAAAGAGATGTTTTTTGTTTTGTTTTTTGTTTTGATTTTTTATGCATACAGAACTGGAGTGTGAGTGGGGCGGGGTGTTGGTGAGAGGATCGAGCAGAGACAGTGAATCCACCAAAATACATTGCTGAGGGGAGACAGGAGAGGAGAGGTCTACTGCGCCACATGGGCCAGCCCCCTGGCCAGGGATTGAACTCATGCCACAGCGTCTGGTGATAGCTTGAGAGACTTAGGCTAACCCCTATGCCACCAGGGAGACCTCTCTTTTTTTATATTTGTTTATTTATACAAGAACTGAGGTACAGGCCAGAGTTGCAGGGGTGAGAGGATTCAACAGACACAAACTGGGGAGCAGAATAGGCAGACTGAGTGAAATACACTGCTGAGGAGAGCAGCAGGCAGTCCATGTTAGTTAAAATATTACAGGTAAATTTTCAGTTCATGGGAACATTGCAGAATAAATAAAGAATCCTCAGGAAAAGTATAATTGATGGAGAACAGAAGTTTTACATATAGTTAAATGATCAAAACCTTTTTTACATGTCTTGTCCACTGGATGTATTTACTTTTTGAAAGATTTATTTATTTATGCATACAAGAACCGGAGTAAAGGCCAGAGATGCGGGTGGGTGAGAGGATTCACCAGAGACAGAGTGGGGAGAACAGGTAGATTGAAATACACTGCTGAGGGGAGCAGCGGGTAGGTCAGGAGATTGAAATACACTGCTGAGGGGAGCAGCGGGTAGGTCAGGAGAGGTCTGCCACGCTGTGTAAATCACCTCCCTGGCCCGGGATTGAACTCATGCTGCAATGACTTCAGATAGTTTCATTGTGCTGTACTTTAACCCAATTCGCCACCAGGGAGGGCCCTGGATGTATTTATTTTTTATTGAAGGAGCATTGCTTTACAACAACATTATATATGTTTCAGACCTAGAGCAACAACTACACATACCACCTTCTGGTCACCACCAAAAATCCACTTTCCATCATTGTCCACTGACTTTTTTTTTTCTTAAGTTTTTTATTTATTCATGTACACAAAATCTGTAGACCAGAGTTTCAGGGTGGTGACGCAAAGAGTTATTAAAGTGCAGCATTATAAAGCTATCCATAGCACTGCAACTCGAGTTTAATCCCCAGACTTGGAGCTGACCACATGGCGCAGCAGACCTCTCCTGTCTCACCCACTGCTCCCCTCAGCAGTGTACTTCGTCAGTCTGCCTGTTTTGCTCCCCACTCTGTCTCTGGTGAATCCTCTCACCCCCCACACCTCTGGCCTGTACCCCAGTTCTGTATGCATAAATAAATAAATCTTTTTAAAAAGAAAATATTTGGGTTTAAGACATCCAGCCAGCGAAGATTTGTAATAGCAGCCTCAGAAGGCTAACACAGCATCAAAACCATCCTCAGCGCTTGTCCACTGGCAACAAACATATCCATGGAGGACTTCAAAAGTCATACCAAAAGGGGAACAGTCTGTGGTTTTAGGGTCTGAAGGAGAGGTCTTGGCCTCCTCCTTGGAATGGAATCACTCCCAGCTCTGTATATGTATGTACTCTGGGAGTCGTTTTTGAGTTACCCAATAATTGCTTCTTTGCCAGCACCTGGTTGGCCAAGCCTTAGAGTCTTGCCCTCTGTGTGTGCAGACTGGCACTCAGATTACTCATGCGTTTTCTCAGCAAGTCCCCTCTCCAGCATCACATCCACGCCATTAGAGTTGCTTAGGCTCTGTGGACTCCAAGATCTCTATTTAGTCACGGTGTGCTGGGAGTTATCCCTGCCTGTGTCATGCATGGGCTGACAGTTTCCCCCAGCAGTAAACTGGAGCAACTGTAGGGCTGGTGATGTTTGCTTCTTTTCTCCTAATGTCCAACAACTTAGAACAGTTGTGTTTTTCAGTTTCCTAGTTAATTCGTATTATCTTGCTCAGTTTCTGGTTTACAGTGGGACAGTGAGTCCTGAAGAAGTTCATGGATGGAAACGAAAGTCCTTGAAATAATTTTGCAGTATCTCTTGCACAATTTATTCTATTTAACTGATCCTGTATTTGTACTAGGTGAAAAATCTACAAAATGATGGTTTGGAATATTAGGTAGTTTTGTAACAACAGCCAGATTTATTTATATGTCC